AGTGAATGGCAATAAGTAGGAGAATAAACAATAAAGAATAACAATAGATAAGTCTGAGTAAATGACAGTAAGTAGGAAAAATGAAAAATAAGAAAAATAGTGAATGACAGTAAGTAGGACAAAAAATAAAAAAATAATGAAAAATAAGAAAAGATAAGGCTGAACAAATGACAGTAAATAGGACAATAAAAAATAATGAAAAATAAGAAAAATAAAAAAATAAATGGCAGTAAACAGAAGAAAAACAACAAAAATAACAATAATTTAAATAAATAGCAAGTAAGAAAATAGAAATAAAAATAACAACAAACAAAACCTGTAACTAAAAGACAACAAGAAGACCAGTAAACAAACAATAAACAAACAAACAAACACGGGACACAAGACAACACGTGGACAAAGGAAAGTGAGACACGGAGACGGTGACGAAAGAGGGTGTGAAGAAATAGCGAAAATGGGGAAAGACAAAATAAAATTAGATAAGGAGAAGGCAGGACCGGAAAAAGAACGGGGATTTTTTTTTTTTTTTTTTTTTTTTTTTTTAAGTTTAGCGTCCTGTAGTGTTGCTGGGTGGTGGTGGTGATGATTTGGTGATGATGATGGCGATTTGGTGGTGGTGATGATGATGATGGTTTAGTGATGGTGGTGGTGATGATGATGGTGATTTGGTGGTGGTGATGATGATGATGGTTTGGTGATGGTGGTGATGACGATTTGGTGGTTGGTGGTGATGATTTGGTGGTGCGGTGGTGATGATTATGGTGGTAGTGATGATGCGATTTTGGTGTGCGGTGATGATTATGATGATGGTGGTGGTGATGATGGTGACGATGATGATGATGATTTAGTGGTGATGATTATGATTTGGTGGTGATGGTGATGACGATTTGGTGGTTATGATGATGATGATGCTTAAGTGGTGATGATAATTATGGTGAAGGTGGTGGTGGTGGTGATGATGGTGGAGGTGTGGGTGATGATGACGATTTGGTGGTTATGATATGGTGATGATAATTATGTGAAGGTGGTGGTGGTGATGATGGTGGAGGTGGTGGTGATGATGACGATTTGGTGGTGATGATGATGGTGATGATAATTATGGTGAAGGTGGTGGTGGTGGTGATGATTGGTGAGTGGTGGTGGTCCGATGGTGTTTATGATGATGGTGATGATAATTATGGTGAAGGTGGTGGGGTGATGATGGTGGAGGTGGTGGTGATGATGGATTTGGTGGTTATTGATGATGGTGATGATATGGTCGCGGTGGGGTGGGTGATGATGGTGGATGGTGTGATGACGTGATGATTTGGTGGTGCATTGTATTATATTGTATGATATATCATACTTGTACTACATTACTATAGTCATTATCATTATCAATCATTAGTGGTAGAAGGAGTAATACTAATAAAAGTATCATTATCTATATTTTATTGTTGTTATTGCTGTTATTATCGTTATCATTATTTTGATCATTATTATCATCATCATCATAATTATCATTACTTTTATCATTATCAATATTGTTGCTATTATTACTATTTTGTTATTATTATTATTGTTATCATCATTATTATTATTATTATTATTATTATTATTATTATTATCATTATTATTTTTATCACTATTATTATTATTATTATTATTATATTATATTATTTATTTTATTATTTATTATTATTATTATCATTATCATTTTTATTATTATTAATTATTATTATCATATTATTATTATTATTATATTATTATTATTATTATTATTATTATTATTATTATTATTATTATTATTATTATTATTATTATTATTATTACTATTTTTATTATTATTATTATTATTATTATTATTATTATTATTATTATTATTATTATTATTATTTATATTAATTATTATATTATATTATTATTATTATTTTATTATTATTATTATTATTATTATCATTAATTATTACACATCATTATCATAATTATCATCAATAACATTTACCGCGATAGATGTGGAATATTCTAGAACACACCACTCATTATTTTCATTATTGTTCTTATTATCCTTATTATTGCTTTTATAATACAGCGTCAAACAAAAACAGTCCTTATGGCTATGAATGAGACATACAATTATCAAACTAGTGTTATTATTATTATTATCATCATTATCATCGTCACTGTCATCAAAAGGATGATAATGATAACACACACACTCACACACACACACACACACACACACACACACACACACACACACACACACACACACACACACACACACACACACACACACACACACACACACACACACACACACACCACACACACACACACACACACACACACACACACACACACACACACAACACACACACACACACACATACATATATATATATATATATATATATATATATATATATATATAATATATATAGGTATATATATTATTAATATATTATATATATATATAATATATATATATACATATTATATATATATACACACACACACA